GGATGCCTGGCAAACGTTTGCCCTAAATTTTTGGGACATTCATTTATAATTTTTTTGCACTGCTCACAAATTACTGGTGCGTGCCTGAAGAAGTGATTTTTAATTCACAAAAGCTTGTAATGATTGTTCAATTTTTTAAGAGGTTTAATAAATGCATCACATCTTTCTACATCTGTACACTGATAAAAATTCTTATTTTCCAGTAAATGCAGAGAGAGAGAGAGAGAGAGAGAGAGAGAGAGAGAGAGAGAGAGAGAACATATGACATGGCACTGCTAATGGCCTGATTTGATCCAAGAATTGACTTTCCAGAACTGAATTAGGAATTCAGTTGGCAAAAGGAGTTGTTCTAAATATGGTTTCTGGGGAGTGTGAGTACTCCACCAGATATCCAAACTGACAGCACCAATCAATCTATGTCCACTGAAGAGGTGGTAGTTGATAACACTGCAATTTCATAGGCATGTACTAACATGTATTTGGAGTACATTCACAGGACTTTAATGTAAAAACACATCCAGATAGTGTATCTTTTTAATATTGAATTTCATTTGAAGATGGCTATGAAGAGCCGATTTGTTTATCGGCCAAACAGGTGTTTAGCACTTCAAAACCCGGCTTCCTCTGGTAGGTGCCCACTCAGATGAAACACCTGGAGGAGGGAGGTGGGGCAGGGAAGCGAAGTCACTGCCTCTGAATGGGTAACTGCTGGGGGAGGCATGCCTTTGAAGCACTGAACACTTGTTTGGCTGATAAACTATCATGAATCAATGGTTCGTGCCCATCTTTATTTTCAATATTATAAGTGTTTTTAGTTTTTTATTAAAATATACAGGCATAGTTTTAAAAGCCATTTTCATACATAATAAAAAACATCACTTTTATCTGTTCATAGCCATACCAGATCATTATTCATGTCAAAGAGACATATTTGTAACACAAATGAATATTTGGGCCAATGTACATTTTATGTTCAGTTTACAAGTTGACCGAACCACTTTAAACTTCATAGACCTCTAAATTCCCCATTTTTGAACATCTGTGTCATTTGGCACAATTTTAAAGCTCAACTAGATCTTTAAAAATGAGAAAGGAAGACTCTCCTTTGCTTACATAAATGGATAATGTTTGCCACATTGAGTGTGGGGGGATAAAAACAAGCTGACAAATGAGCATTTCCTTCCTGCTTACTCTCTCTCTCTCTCTGTCATGTGTGTGTGTGTGTGTGTGTGAAAATAAGAGTACTTGGTCCTTTCTGGAAACTTTCTGTGCATGGCACATATTGCTTTGCAAAACCATGTTTTATAGCATTTGCTGAGGAAGGGATTTTTGCGACTGATTTTATCTGAGCCCCACAGACTAACTCTTTCCAGAAGACATGTTGAATCATACACATGATTCTGAGCCAACTCATACAGTGCTTGACTTTGAACTGACATTTCACCAATATTAGTCCAGGCTTGAAGACTCAGCACAACAGCAAATAATTGCATTACTCACCAACTATTTATTATATAGCTCCTTTCAGAAATATCTCAAGTCTCTGAAAATATGTGTCTGCCTCAGGAGAGCTATTACTCTTATCAAGACTTTGTCTGATAGATGAATTGTTTTAGCCACGTTATAGAAAATGTGTTGTCACTATCATTTTTTCTCTCTCACATACATACACACACTAATTTTTCCCTGCTGTGGGAATTTCATAGAAACTGAGGGCAGGTTTTTGAGTGTTTCATATCAGGGTGAGCAGTTATGTAAATAAAGCAAATTTGGGAAGGGAACAGTTCCTTCTGGTGAGGGCTGCCTGCGGGCAGCTACAATATTTTAAATGTATGATAATAATGCATATCTGTATGTATTTAGTTCACACTTTATTTATTCAGCATCAGTGAACGCCTCAATGCAACAGATGGTCATTGACTGTTCTTAAGGTGCCAAAGATGGGCAAATGGCAGGCCTTTAGAATCTTACTGGCACCATAGTGGTACTAACAGATGGGCTTAACTTATTCCTCAGCCAGCAAATGAGCTTCCTCACAGTTGTTCCCCTTGTTTTATTTGTACCATTGTTCAGGTACCCCAGAACTTGTACATAGCTACTTAAAACTAAAGCAGTCATGTGTAAACATTTATTTTGGGGGTATAGTGAGGAACAGGGAACAAAGCCATGTTTCAGAAGTAATGTCAGAAGTAGGGATGAAATTGCTTTATTGTTTTAAGATTTTCTGGGGGGTGTTCCCAGAAGTTTTAAGAGTATTTTAAGCCATTTCAGATTCATTCTGATAAGATTTTTAAAGAAGAGTTTTGTTAGTCTCTTATTATACTTTGTTTTTTTCCTTTTGTCAAACAAGGTATTTACATTTGTCAAACAAATAAGGAAGAACATACAGTAACAAGTAATCTAATATGTTATCTTCTTGGTGTTATAATGTGTAACAGCAGCAAGTTACTTTTTTAAATACTGTAACAAGTAATGGGAATAACCTTTTCAATAAGTAATTTTCTAAATTCTGTGTCATATCTGACATAAACCTTTCATTTCTGAACTTTTTTGTCCTTCCATTGCTCTTTCCTTCTGATGTATTTCCCTTGGTATAGCTATTGGTTTAAGGTGAACTTAATGTAGCATGCAGTGTGAAATTAAAAACTTGACTGAAATTTGTGTTCAACATCCATGAATTTAATTTGTTAAAATTTTGTTGTTAAAATTTGCTATTATAAATGTAAGTATAAGGTGGAATAAAATCTGTGTCTTATTTTTTCATCTAGCTTGCTGACCCCCCCCCTTTTTTTTTTGTTTCTGGTCAAGCATGCTTTCTTGATAACTGAATTGATTCATGACATAGGAATTGGTTGGTAATAAATTTGTTAAAGTACTGTGCTGAGCTCAGGAAAAAACAAAGCACATCTAGATGAAAGACTTTGAGACAAGGCTGTTAACTGAGATCTTGGAGTTTTGACTCTTTTATAGTAGTAGTAGTAGTGGTCATTGTCATCGTCGTTGTAGTAATATAAAGGCTCTTATCTGAACAGTTCCCTGAACAAACCCTTTCCAGTAACATAAAAGGAGGAAAATATGGATAGAGTATTGCTACTACATCATTTCATATTTCATTTTCCTTTTAGTTTCATGAAACATTTTTCATAGCAGAAACAGCTACTGCAAAACTCCAGTCATGATAACTCATTTATATTTGTTTGCAATTAGTAGTGCTCAGATATTCTTTTTCACATATTGATATATATATCATTTGGTTACTTGTAACTGGATGTTTGAACTGTAGTAGAAAAAAACCCCTGTGCTGTGTGTTATTTGAAAATTCTAGTAATCTCAACTTTCCTTTGTAAAATTCATGGAGAAAAGCAACTAGGTAGTCCCTTATCTATGCTCATATCACTTTGGCTTCAGCAGGGTTGCCGTGTCATTGCCCTAGCCTAGATCACACCTTAGACCTGTGCATGGGCTTGCAAATGGTGAAGATGCATTTAAGAAACAGATTTGCTCTCACCTCCAGCCAGATTCCTCCAAGAAATCTACAGAGTTGCCAGAGCTGGGATGGTTGCCACACCCCAGACACCTGCAAAGTAATAACTGCATGTGCAGCTGTGTAGGCCTGAAAGACAATCCCAAACACATGAGTATTTTTGTGCCCACACATTCATGCATATTAGCTTTAAGGTCTACAAGTTAATTTGAAGAGTTATGACAGGAATCATAATACAGTGAACAAAATGAATCAGCAGATGTCAGTTGTACGAGTGGGGAAAGGCAGCTGGAAACCTAGCCCACAGAGCCTTCTCTGTACTAACTAAGTTTTAGCATTGAAGCTGGCGCAGATGAAAGTGGGGTCTTTTGTCTGTTTCAATAGTAGGTTTAAGCATCAAGGCCTGTCCATAAGCTAGCTGATAAAACATAGGCCACATGAGAAAGCCAAGCTTGCAGTTTCTTAACAAAATATAGCACCCCACACAAGGGGGAGGTGAAAAGCTCAGACTTAGAAACTGTGGCATTGGCTACATCCAAGCAATTGTATGTCTATGTTCCCAAACTTCTTCTCTTGAATACTGTAGGTGCTTCTGAGTTCACAAATTTGATACAGTAAATGGAGACATTCAGCTTACCATATTTTTCCGTGTATAAAATGACATTTTTTCCTAAAATAATTAGAGGAAAAATTGAGGGTTGTTTTGCATACAGAAGGCAGTAGCAGAAGGCGGAGACTGAGGCAAAGAAGCAGCCGTGCACGTGGCTGTCCATTGACCTGCCAATGCTGCTCAATTGCCCCCTCCAGCGATCGGCTCCTTGTGATTGGGCAGCGGCAGCAGTAGTCAATGCGCAGCAGCGAGAAGCGACCGAGCGTGGTTGCTTCTTTGTCTCCGCCTCCTCCTGCTTCTGCTGAGCCTGTGACTGGTGCTGGAGGAGACTGCAGCAGCAGCAAGAGGTGGAGACAGAGGCAAAGAAGCAGCTGCACTCAGCTGCCTCTCGCTGCTGCCCATTGACTTCTCCTCCACCTCCGGCAAGGGTAAAAATTAGGGGGTCATCTTATACATTGGGGAGGTCATATATACAGAAGAATACGGTATGTTTTTAGAGGGTTTTATTAATGGTACTTGGTGGTATTGCCACAAGGTTAGGGAGAATCTATGATCAGATGCCTTCTAAATTACCTTAGATCTTACCTCTGGCCTTCTTCTGTTTCTTCACATTCCTTAGTAAGGAAGATTTTGTGTTCAGTTTCTAGCTTTTCTAGAAAAAATAAAATTGTGGATCCATACAATCTATGTTTTGGAGTGCTTAACATGTCATTTACATTTTTCCATGATGACTTCTTGGTTTCACATTTTTATGTCTAGATGTCTTTAAACTAATGAGAGAACTGTTCATACTACAAGCATAGAAAGCCATGCTCACTTATTTCTTGGTGCCTTCGTTTAATGCAACATTTAAATGTTTGAAGTGCTGTTGATTTATGTCAACATTTTGCTTTTTTCTGTTCACAGGAGAGGCTGCCAGTTCTGCTGCTTGGACGTTCAGCAGAGTTGCGTCCTGGTGAATTTGTGGTGGCAATTGGAAGCCCATTTTCTCTTCAGAACACAGTGACTACTGGAATTGTTAGCACCACACAACGGGGAGGCAAGGAACTTGGACTTAGAAATTCTGATATGGACTACATTCAGACAGATGCCATTATCAATGTAAGTTACTTTCCTCAAACTTCTCTTTTATTGATGCTTCTAACCTTAAAATAAATTACATCAGCAGATTCTTTGGCTATTCTGTTACTGTTCTCTTCTATCTTATTAATGTTAGTGCATTAGCATTTTTTTCAAACGATTTCTCAGAAAATGGACAACAATCGAATTACACTAAACTTTAAACTTGTTCTTTAAAGAGACACTATGATGTACTGAACCATGAATTACAACCTATGAGTCTAGGCTATATATCCTTTAGCTGTCTCTAAAGAACCATCAGAAAATTGTGAAAAGATTATATTTCTTGGGTTTTTAAGTGACTTTTTTCCAGGACTCAGGCAAAGAGATGTCAGCTTCTAGTACTTCTTCTGCTAGTGATGAGGTAGCAGGTGAATTACCAGACCTCATTGTCTGACAAGTTGTGTTATGTGCTCGTAACTTAAAAGAGTCTACAGAATTAAGAAAACAACTGTATTTTAAAGCTTAAGTAGCAAGGGGGAAAAATAAAAGTATCAGCCTCTAATAGATTTAGAAGACTAAATTGTTAAGGAACTCTACTAAACAAGTTTAAACATTGTAACACATAAGAAGTGTTTTAAGAGAAGCACTGAGAGGCACCAGAATTGTGGGGCAAGAACAGTGATTTTTGAAATAACACGAGGCAAGAAATGTCTGCCTGTCTTGTAGGACATTTCAGTGGCAAAACAGAATCCCCCAAATTAAGTATCTCCACACAGGAGTTTACTTGGGCTATTTTGCTTGGTTTTTGATGAGCCCACTTTGATCTCTCTAATTGCTCTTCCCAGGATGCTGACTGCATGCTTTAGTGCTGTTCCTCTCAGAAATAATGGACAGTTCAGGACTGTATGCTTGCCATTGATCAGTGGAGATTTTGATTTGTTATAATTTGTGGTTTGCTAAGAGACATAGGATTCTTTGCTGTAGTTCAGAGGAGTACGCTAAAATTCTATAGCAAAGAATGTCTAGGTTCTCACCAAACCAAAAATTCCATGATTTCTGCCATTGAGGTCTGAATAGCTACAATTCCAGAAAGGAATGCTATGGATAAGTTAATGTGAATATGCTTTCTAGAAAGTGTTATGTGGCAACTATCTTCAAAATGTAAATAAGCTTTGTAAATTATTGAATGTAAAAGATTAAGAAGTATTTTGGATTAAGATTAAGATTTATTTTTTCCCCTACATTTGCAGTATGGAAATTCCGGAGGACCTTTAGTAAACCTGGTAAGAATTCATTATTAGAATTCTACTTTGCACATTGGATTCCACAAGCTATTTGGCTCCCTTTTCATCCCTCCTCTGATTAAAGAGGAAAGCTGATCAGTGTCTACATAAGCATCATATGATTCTTATTCATCACTCTGTCATGCCAGTGTTGGTAAATCATGTGCTGTCATTGATGTCTAGTATCCAAAATGATTAGAGTGTGCCTTTTTTTCAGAATGACTGTAATGTTGACATCTTCTGCAAACGAGAATATTGTTTGTATGATATTTTTCATGTTTTGTACCAGAAACTTGAAACATTGACAATCAGCACTTGCTTCCTACTGCTTTAGTTTTAATATGTTTTCTATGATTCTCACTATCAATTTCTCTATGATAAATTGATAACTATGGTGGAAGTCAATATTCAGTAATGAAGGATTGTCACCGGATATTGGTACTTCCTGTGTTTCTGTCTGATACTTCTATATCACTGCCAGTCATACTGGAGACAGTGAGGAAAAAATTCAAAACCTAGGTCTGGATAAGGTCTTCCAAGGCATGAATTATAGTGCCTCTACTTTCTATTGCTTTTGCCTTTTCTTTTGTAAAGTGGAAATACAGAATGCTTTCATAAACTTTCTGAAATACATTATCAGAAAATCTATTATTACAGTTAGAAGTATCATTGTACTTGGCAATAAAAATAACAACAGAAACAATGGTGTATGCAAATGTCTTATAACTAGGGGGAAGATTCCTATGACATTTCACATTTTCTCTCCAACTTACCTTTGAACCCATAAGCAATTTCAAACATGTTTATGAATAATCTGACCATCTCACCAGATTACTCATAAACCTGCTCAAATCCATCCAAAAACTCAAACACAGTTTGCAGGAAAAAAATATGACAATCCATAGAAGTCCTCCCCCCACCCCACTTATAAATCAGGTGTATAAATTTCTTATAGTACTGGTTTTCCACAATGCTGCTTGTTGCTTTGAAGCAGTTGACATCTAAAATCACACTGGCACTGTAGTACCTTTGCAGTGGAGCTCCCTCCCTTCCCCTTTGGAGGCCCTCTCCACAGAATGCTTCTCCAGAGAATTTTGCAGCCATCCAGAGCACATTTTTAGTATGCTCTGTGTGTGTGTGTGTGTGTGTGTGTGTGTGTGTGTGTTGCTTTTGCTTTTCTGCCTGCAGAAGGCCATCATTGCATCTTGTCTTCTGGCAAAGTTTCTGTTTTCAGATATCGTAATTCTGGTATAATTTGTCACAAGAAGGGAAAAGATGGGGATATAATGATAATAATTACACATTACAGTATTTTGAGATGGCTAGTTTTTTCAAAACAAGGAGTAGGAAACTATTCATATTTGTGTTATTCTTGAAGTGTTCTGTCTTATTTCTCTTCTGCTAGTTGTTCCTCTGACCCAAGCCAGTTGTTCAAAAAGACCTATAATGTTTCAGCTTTGAATTTTGAAAACTCAGCATTAATTAGCATTATGGTTATATAGTTTTGAAAATTTTATGTTCCATGTTGAAAATATACGATTGAACAAAATATATTACCATATTTTTCCATGTATAAAATGACACTTTTTACTTAAATAATTAGACAAAAAATTGAGGGTTGTTTTATACATGGAATGTAGCCACTTTCCCTGCCTTTGAAAGGATGGCACACTCGCATCCCTTTGATTCTTAAGCAGCCATGAAAGGGCTTAGGAAATGGTTAACACAGCCATGAAAGGGCGGCAGGATCGCACCCCTTTGATCCTGAAGCAGCCATGAAAGGGCTTCAGGACCAAAGGGGTGCGATCATGCAAATTTTCAAATTTTTTAATTTGGGGGTTTAGAAAAGGGGGGTCATCTTATACATTGGGTTGTCTTATAAACAGAAAAATATGGTATTTAAAGGAGGGTGGGTTTGTTTTTAGTTTAAGAGAAAGCTTCACAGCATTGTGCAAAGCATATTTCTATAACTAGAACAGAGTGGAGTACACTTCATTTCATCCACAGTCTGTCTGTTAGTATATTAGGCCAATAACATCTATTTTGGTTCAGAATGACTTTCTGAGGTCACCTTAGAAATTCTTGTCCCAGATCCATTTCATGATGCCAGATCTTAGGAATGAATGCCCTATTTAAGTGAGGAGATGTCAGGAACTGGCCATGGAAACTGACATATGCATAGCAGAGCTTAGAAAAATACTTTTTGGACTGTAATTTTCAGAGTTGCCCAACTGAGATGGATACTATGAGCTGGAGGATTTGGGGAGCTGTAGTCTAAAAAAGTAACTTTCCCCAGCTTGCACTCAAAGTGTACTTTATGTCACTGAGCTGCGTTTTCATGGTCCAGCTCATGTTCAGAAAATAAATGAACCAGATCTTTTGTGTTCTGGCATCCAACAAGGCAATATAGGCCTCTCCCAAGGACTGATTGTTCAAATTAAAGTTTACTATCTTTATTTGGGTAGTTCATGATTACTTTTCTTCACATTACTACAGGATGGTGAAGTAATTGGTATTAATACTCTGAAAGTCACTGCTGGGATCTCCTTTGCAATACCGTCGGACAAAATTAAAAAATTCCTGACTGAGTCACATGACCGCCAAGCCAAAGGTACTATACCATTTAATGGTACAATACTATTTAACACTCTATACCAGGGTGGACAACTATGGCTCATTGAATATTTTTGAACAAAAATCATACCAGCTCTGGCTTCCAAAGCCAATGGTGATGAATTATGGGGGTCCCAGCACCAAAATATCAGGAAGATATTTGGGACACATACAATTATTGGTGGATATTATTTTTTATTCCCAATGTAGTGTAGTGGATGGAGTGAAAGACTAGAACTCGAGAGATAATGGTTCAACCCCCACTTGGCTATGGAAGGTCACTGGGGGAGTGGAACTGGTAAAACCACTCCTTTAATATTTCACTAACCTTGAAAGCCCTATTAGAGTTACTGTAAGTTAATCTCAACTTGATTTCACAGAACACACAAACACATACATTATTTAAAAAAATCTTTGCCATACATTAAGACAATAATAATAATTACATATGGTCAATCAGTGTTGCTGTATTGTGGCCCTTTCCAATGCACTAAAGTATTTTACCATTCCCTTCTTCTGAGGGCACTCTGGGACCATGTAGCTTGCCCAAGGCTACAGAGACTGGCTCCTCAGCTACACAGTCCTTGGGCACCCCCAGAAGAAAGGAATACAATCCACTTCTATGTATTCTCGAAGGCTTTCACGTCCGGGATCTGATGGTTGTTGTAGGTTTTTCGGACTGTTTAACAACATGGCCAAACAGCCCGAAAAACCTACAACCAATCCACTTCTATACTTCGAAAAGCCTGAAAAAGGTTGCCATACTTTAGAATTGACATGACATGACAGCATTAATTAATTAAAATCTCAGTGTGAAATTGCTGCTAGTTAAGATGTTAGTATAAGCATTGTGTGTTCCAAGTCAAGATTTATGCCAAATGTGTTATGCCACTGGATATAATTAATCAGATATTTTGGCCTTTGTTTATTTTGTGAGCTAGTTTCCAAAACATTGCCTCACAGTTTCATTTTGAAGTGGTACAGTTGGGAGGTCTTTTACCACAGCATTCTGCATAAGGTGTGCAGTGTTGCTGTTCTGATGAGAAGAGCTTGTCAGAATAAGCTTCCCCCTGTCTTTTAAACAGGAAAAGCAGTAACAAAAAAGAAATATATTGGCATACGTATGATGTCCCTCACTCCTAGGTAAGTTTTGAAATTATTGTATTTATTCTACCAGCAGCTATTTCGTATGGTTGAGGTATTTAAGAAAGAAAGAAAGAAAGAAAGAAAGAAAGAAAGAAAGAAAGAAAGAAAGAAAGAAAGAAAGAAAGAAAGAAAGAAAGAAAGAAAGAAAGAAAGAAAGGACCCAGTTACATGTATCATCTACTGTGGGACATGTTTTAGGCACAGGTTTTTCACTTTTTGAAAGAGAAACCAATCAAATGTCAAAATAGCTAGGTCAATGTAACTATAAATTTTATGCATGTCAAAGTAATTTTCCACAATGGTAGCAAAAGTTTTTTTCACTTTGGACAGCAGAAATATGGTAATTTTTCTCCTAGTAAAGGTCTCTAAGTTTTACTTTCTGGAAAGTTGCTCAATTTTATTATTAAGTGTTCTAACAGAAGATCAATTCATATTTTATTCAATTGAGTTTGTTTTTTCTAGTAAAGCTAAAGAACTGAAAGAACGCCATAAAGACTTCCCTGATGTTATTTCTGGAGCCTATATTATTGAAGTAATTCCAGACACACCAGCTGAGGCGTAAGTTAAATAACTATTCTTTTTTTCTAAATCTTTCAACTATAGTCTGAAAGATAAACATATAGTATGACTATGCAATGCCAGGAACTTATCATGGGAGTAGGACAGAGGTCAGAAATGAAGTTCCATCATCAACATTATCACAGGCATTTATAGAGTGTCAAGATGTCAAAGAATGCCACGTATGTTAGCTAGCTGCAATCCTTGGACAATGCTTTATGACAGAAATAGGCAAAATGTAGCCATCCAGAAGATGTTGTTGGACTTAGGGATGTGTCATGTGTGTGTGTGTGTATGTATGTATGTGTGTGTGTGTGAGAGAGAGAGACATTATAGATCTCCTGCTTTTCCATTTTGGTAGTGCCACCTAACAAACAGATACCTACAGACATCTAAATGTGGCTCATCTGGGAGAAAGGCCTTTGTGGCCTAGTGTAGGCCTGGCTCCGTCTTGCTCTCTGTTCAAAAAAGGGAACTCCCAACTCCCAGTTTTCTTCACCATCCACAATTTTGGCTAGGGCTGATGAGAATTCCAGTCCAACAACATATGAGGGGCTGCCTTTTAGCCACTGTATCATAAAGAGTTATTGTAAAAATTGCAGCTAAATTGCAGTTATCCAGTATACTGCCTAGGAGGAGGCCAAGGCTGAGTAAGATGGTAGAAATTAGACTGCTAGTGGGGACTTCTCACATCTTAGCTCAGATCTTAGCCACCAGGCTACTTCAAGTCATACATCCCCCCGAAACCCTTCAGACCATTATTGCATGAGTGTATTGCCCTGTTCTATTTAGTATAAACAAGGGGGTTATACATGGAGGTCCTCCAGATGTTACTGACTGCAACTCCCATCAGTCCTAGCTAGAATAGCGAATGATGAGGGATGAGGAGAATTGCAGTACATCGAACTGAAGGGCCACTAGCTGTCAATTTTTGGTGTAAGGTTTTCTTTAAAAGCAAACAGTAGAAGAGTTGCTGGTGTGACACTTCAAGACAAAATTCACAGAACTCAGTCTTCTGAGATGTGAAAATATTATTTACAAGCTTATTCTACTCAAAAGCACTAATAAATGACAGTATATTCATGTACTAATCCAACATCCTGCCATTGACCTACTGTATAAACACATGTTACAATCCTCATGCTATTTTGGAGGGAGGATTTTAGGCATCAATATTGTGTAAGCAGCTTGAAGGCATAACCATTATTTGTGATGGTAGTTACATAAATTTAATGTGCTTTTTCTGGTGGGGCATATGGTTGGGAGGACTTCATTCAGTTCACTTTGAAATTTGCCCTGAGCATCACCAATGACAAGCCCTCCAAAATAGTAATACTTCTGAAAAATATTTGTTGCAAATGAGTGCTTGTGTAAGGCATTTCTCTTTGCATGAGAGAGGCTTGTGACTGCAACCTCATGTTTAGGGGATGAATCATGTCTAATCCCATTAGCTGGGCTAAAATTTCCGTAATTCAGAGTCTGAGTTTGTCTACAAGACAGGACAAAATGATCCAGGAGAGAAAAGGTGGCATATTGTTCCCATTTGCTTGCATTGTCAACAGTGACTTCTGCTAAAAGAGCAATGACAATTCCATTTGACATAGAGATTTGCTCTTGATTTCTCTGTCAGAAACAAATACTCATGGTATGGGGGTGGAGGGAGAGGAAGGAAGCCAGTGGCTAGTAGAAATAATGTGACCCAATATTTTTTGAAATTCACTCTTTAATTGCACTTAAATCATAAAAAAACAAGAAAAAACTAAAGCATACAAGTAAAGAAACAAAAATTCCATCAGCTGAAGAACTGGAAAGAAACAATTATTTAATGTTAGAACTCTTAAGGTCTTAGAAAGGCAGAATTTCACCCCATCTTTTTGGCCAGCCTTTCAGAATTTCTCCTTCTGAACAGCTCTGGTTAACAAATCCTAGATTACGACCACAACTCATATAGTTTTCTCCAACCTAGTTCCATCCAGAGATGGTGGTTCACAACCCCAATTCTCCTCGAGAGGTCAGCATCATAGAGGAGCAAACACTGACTGTACAATCTTCTCAACTATCTTTCAGTGAGGGGCGAGAAGTGTCCCCTCTTTACCACGAGGGCATTATTTTGCTTTTCTTTCTGCGTGTTTAGCATAGATAGTCTGAACTATATTGAACATACATTGAGGGGTGCAGTGTTGCATGCTTTGCTCTTTAGTTGTGTTTTTGCATAGATGTCTGGATCCCATCTCCTGAAGGTTCTGGTTACAAAAAGCAGGTATGATTCTTTCTGTTAAGGGTAACGTGTTTCTCTCTCTTCCTTTTTGTATTTCAGGGGAGGCCTGAAAGAAAATGATGTGATTATAAGCATCAATGGACAACCAATCCTGTCAGCCAATGATGTCAGTGACATTATCAAAAAGGACAATACACTCAGCCTGGTAGTACGCAGGGGAAATGAAGACATTATTCTAACCGTGATTCCTGATGAGATTGACCCTTAAATAGAAACATGAGCTGGATTTCATGTTCTCTGTTAAGAACAAGCAGTGGACTAATTATATTATATCTGTACTGGTACAGGAAATAGACTTTTGACTAAAAATCCACATGCTCAGTGGAACTGTATTGGCCAATCAACTAATTTCATATAGGTTTGAGTCACACAACCTATGCAATTTTCAAGATGATACTTCTGCTGTTCTTAATGTATGCTATGTGCTATCTCTTGGCTGCCCCATCTGTTCCTCTATCTTCAGTGGTCAACATTTGATCCCTTCTCGACTGTAAAAGTTATTACTTTGAACCAAAACTTCTTGAAAGTAAAACCATGGCTAAATCATATTCTGCTGTATTCATTCTTTCTACAGCTTACATTTTCATGGAAACGCAATTGTTAATAAGAAAGATAGATAGCTAACATGTTTGGAAATAACTGCTGAATTGTACACATACAACCCGAAGGACTTTTCCTTACTGAATCCATGCTGAGTTTTTTTTAAAAAAGAATATTGTATTTTCCTAGTTGAATTAAAAGAATTCTAACAATATCTTTGTTTGTGTTTTCCTGATCATATGCCTTCGTCAAGACCTTGTACATTGCCCCATATATTTAATGCCTCCTTTATCTGAAAGCCAAAACACTTTTTAAATACAATAGATATAAATGGCTTCTGAACAAGAATCTTTAGATTAGGAGATGGGTACTAATTTATATTTAACAAAGATTTTCTTTACAGTGAAGAGGTTTCTGCTCTATATTTTCTCAAACTGAACACAATCATTGATTGTGATTCTAACATATTATCAGAGGACTGTTGAATCATTTGCTGCTGGTGCATATATTGACTTAGTAGTTAAATGAGCTCTGGATTGGTGGCTCATTCCAGACCCAGAAGTCCATTCATGTGAGGATTCAGTCAATGCATATTAACGTAAGCTTCTAAAGTCACTGTACTGAATTGCCTGCACTGCATATTTGCTGTAACAATGCACAGCTAACAATGACAGTCCTTGTGTCCTGTAAATGCAATGAGAGACAATTATGTTCCAAGAATGATTGTGCACTGTGGCTATATAAACAGAGACACATTTTCTATCCTGTACTGCAAGATACTGCTGAATGCTGCATCTCTAGTATATTCCTGTGTTCTCAGTTCAGCCACTACATGCCAAACAACTGGAAAGAGTGTCCTGTTACTACAGGCATCTCTGTCTGAAATATTTTATTTCATTGGCAAGTGATAGGACATGTGGCAGAGACCGTGTTTTGGCTTTGTGAAACACTTCTTTTTAGATCTAACTCCTGTACCTTTAACTTGGCAGTCACTAACATGACACAGAATGATGACTAACATGATGGTAATTTTCTTTCATATTTTGCCAGTCCAGCTACAGTATGCTTTGAGGCATTTGACCTAGAAGGGGTGCAAAAAGATTTACTATGTCTGATACAGTGTTGTTCTGCTCCTCTGTGCATGATGGTACATGCAAAAAGTGGAGATGTATTTATGGAGAGATCAGATTTTCACTGTAGATTTGATCCTGAAACCCAAATGTTACACCTTTTAAACAACTTTCTTCATACTCATGACAGTATTCCTAGTCACCATGGCAGATGGAACATCAGACAGAAAGTTTGCGGAAGTTCAAAGGAGTGCTTTAGAACTATCTAGCAAAAATTTCAATCAAAGTGAGTCACTGAGCTAAAAATCCTTGGATTTTTGCAGATTGTATCATGGCTGATATGATTTGAACTTTAATCTTTCTGTGCCCTGCCACCTGAGATCCTTGGATTTCTCTCTTTGTTTTATAAATTTCAACTAGGAATGGTGGAACGGTGGTTGGAAAGAATGAAATACCTGATGGAATTAGAAGACATGGAGACTGCTTAAAAATTGAAACCTAGAATGCCACCTGCTGGACTGTGTATGGTTGTTCATCAGGTGTGGACAATGTCATGGCGATATGAAGAATCCATTGTAAACCGAGGACAACATCTTCCTCCAGCCAGTAGGTAATACTGCTGATTTGGCTAGAACTGGCTCAACTACTCTGTAGACTAAATTTTACCCCAATGTCTCTGATACAGGATCTGCTACATATCAATAAACCCCAATCCTCAGCAAAAAAGAAACATTGTGTTTTGAAGTGAGGCAGTGCGGGAGAGGAAGAGAACTGAATGACAAGAGTTTGGGAATGATACTCCATTCAACACCAGCAAGGAACAAATTTGAAACCTACACTCTGCCCCCTTTTCAAACTTTCTACCTGGCATGGACATCAACCCAAAACTTTTGGACTTTTGATGTTTTTTTCCGCACTGTCCATGCCCAATGCTGCCCAGACTGATGAAGACCTGCACAGTTAAAACGTAATGTTTTACCTAATTTTAGTGGTCAAATAAAGGTATCGCCCCCAGCCCTTGCCTATAGAATTTGTTCCTTGGGTTACTTAGCTATAGCCTATAGGACTGCTGCCTATTAACTGTTTAGCTGAGAGTGTAAACCTCATTTTTCTGCCTTTAATTCTCTCTCTCTCACACACACACAAAGAAATATCCAAAAGATATATGTTTCAGGAAGAGCAGAAACAGTTTGCTGCTATCCTCAATAATTTGTCTCTAAGAAAAACTGACGTGTCACATTTCTGTGCTAAACTGTTCAAAATGTCTCTACTTCCAACATCCACATTATAATTTTCCCTTCTGGGTAAGGAAGAGGGGAAAGACTGGAAATACAAGTTTAAACATCAGAGGCATGAAAACCTAAAGTTTACCTTTACAGATGATTCCGGCAACTTCAACACTGTGGCACCCATGGGTTCCCCAGCCCAAGTGTTTGCACTGCCATAGGTGAGACTCAGTGCCCTTGCACTGCAAGTTAGAAAGCCAGATGTTTCCATTTCCTTCACCAAAAGGAGCCTCTCCTAGCACTGAAATAGCATCTCCACATCCAATCTCCCTGCAAACAACTCGGGCATCATTGATGTCCCAGTCATCATCGCAAACTGTTCCCCATGTGCCGTTGTAATAAACTTCAATTCGCCCCTCACAACGGTTAGAAGAATTGACCAATTGTATGGCAAAATCTGCAACAGAACATTGATGCTTAGTTTTAGACTTCATGATGACTGCTTCCATTAAACTAAAACTACGAGAGAGATGATCACACACATTCAAAGAGACAACTGTATTGTTTTCTGCAGATACACATGTCTTATTGTATTATGGATTTTCCCTCAGAAAGCTAGTAATACTCTCCTCTACATGTTTACTTTGAAGTCTGTGCCATTGAGTTCAATGAGTCTTACTCCCAGGTAGCAACATGCCAAAGTACATATTTAGAAAAATGAATCTTTCCTCCACCTAAAGTGCTTTCTCCCCAGCAATGTGATACGCTGTGTTACATATGACTCTGGAATTAGACATGCAAAGGGAGTAATGGTTTACATTTCATAGACAATTCAAATGACACACTTGTGTCTCTTTTTAATTTGTTTTCACAATTGCACCTTTTTCACCACTTGAGGGGGCACTCTTTCTGGATACAGATTTCTCTGAATGTATGTTTTTGTCTTGTGTGGAGGACTGCAATCTCAGTTAACTTTGTGATGGCTGCAATAGAAACAAGCACTACAACTACTGTGGGTGCAGTTAAGTATTTAATCAGATTTACTGCAAGTGTTCCATCATCAACTGGAGGGTGCAGTCATGTTGGTCATCTTCTTTCGTCTCTGAAACTGCACTGGCAGCCTCGCACCGTATTTCTGGTATATGCTTTAAAAATCTAGATCTGTTCAAATTTGGTAGCAGCCTCTCCTGTTTTCACATGGACATGCCACAGTGGTTAATATCATGGTGTCATGCACAGTTGTTGAATATTAAATTTTTTATACTCTCTAGCAAGAACTGTTAAATGTGCTGATTGAACTAGCTTCAGAGCCTTGCTGAATTTCATTGGCAGCTCAAAAGACTCAGCTCTAGTACATTTGGTATTATCTATAGTTTGCATTGGCTTCCCAGACATGTTGTTCCTTCACCCAAAACTCTTGGATTTAATCATATAAAATCCTTAGCAATCTGGACTGCACACTGACATGCCAAGGTTTCAATAGACAATGAAGAGTGTTCAAAATACATTGAAACAGTGATAAAAGATAAATCCACATTACCTTGCAGATCAGGTGGTGCCACTCCAGAATCTGTGAATAGAAATAAGACTGAATATTCAGGAAATATGTGAAAAGATTTCATTAAATTGCTAGACTCTCTGTAGTAGCAGGAGGAGAGAGAGCACTTATTTGCAAAAACAAACAAACAAAAACCATACATAAAAAAGGAAAAAAAAAAAAGAAAGGCAAAGCTATACTGTCCAAATGGATGCACCACCAACTATCACTCCCCAATTTGTTCACTTTAAAAAAAAAAGGGGGGGGAGAAAAGTTGTGCCAAACAGCAATTTTAGGCTGCCAGTTTTGTTGTTGTCTGACTGCTATTACAACAACATTGCCCAAACAGAGCACCACAATAAATGTTAAGAGGTAGGGTGTAGTTGGTTCCAGGCAACCTTTGGGGTTGTGGTCTAATGCAGCTTTAAACAGCTTTAAACTCACCTTAAGAGGATGCCTGGTTAACTTTTGCCATGATTTTTTGGGACATTTATTTGTTATTTTTCTCTACTGTCCACAAACTTCTGGTGCATCAGGGATGCAGGAGGATTTGTAATCCACAGAAATTTGCATTAATTGTTTGATCCCTCCCCCCCTCCCGAATGGTCTATTAAGGGGATCACATTCTTCTACTTTTGCACCATGTGGCTTCCTTTGTGTGTGTGTGTGTGTGTGTGTGTGTGTGTGTGTGTGTGTGTGTGTTTGCTTGCTCATGAATCATTTCAATGTGATGAACTCCACACATCTCACTCAGAAGTGTTCTTGGAGACTAAGGGGCTGAATAAAAATCTTCCTGTGGAATAGATAGCTGAGTTGCATAAAGTGGGTAAAATCCTGTTCATTGCTTCCACTTGCTCAGTAATCCATTGCATGGGAGGTTGAGCATTTTCTAAGCTTGCAAAGTGAGATATTACCACAAACTAGAAATGGTCCAACCGGTCATGCAGTATACCATTGCTTAAGTGGACTGGATTATGCCTGATGATATTTACATTGTATATGGAACATCTGATAAATATTTTTCACAATAAAAACCCAAAGAAAAATGATCGACTAGATCTAAACAAGTGGCAGGCAGAACTGTTCATGTATGAAACCAAAAAGGTGCCAGGAATATATGCATCTAAGAAAGAATAGCTATTGAAATTTAGTGAACTCTTACTTTGTGTTCTG